CCTCTGCGGATAGCATTTATGCACGTCTTTGAAGTCGCGTTGTGACGAGGCGCAAAGCTTGCGCCCTCTGCCGAGACTCTGCCAAGACTCGCACGCCCAGACTCGGCCGAGCATTAGCATTTCATCTTCTGCCGCCGTACACTTCTTTCATGAAGTATACCCCGCCGACACTTCGATGAATCCGTTCTCTGTCTATGAGGATTTCAGCATAGTCTCGCCTTGTCAACGAATCCGCTCTCTGTCGATGGGGCTGTCCACAGAGTCTCATCTTTCTGTCAGAGCTGGCATCCGCCACAATGTGTCTACAAACCCAAACCTTCGGGGGATCAGGGCCATTCTCAACATTTTTATAAATATATATATGCAAATTTTTAGGCATCCATAGGCGGTGGCAATGCCACATATACCTAGTTGCCATGTGAGGTCACAAAATCTATGTGGTATGATTTCCTCTTATACATCGTTATGTTTTCACTCACCTTATCCCTTCGCTTCCCTCATTCCATTGTCGTTCAGGTTGTTACCTGGATTATATACTGGATAAGGCACCAAAACACGGAACAAATATCCTAGCACTATGCCTGGTAATAATACGAATTGTACAAGTGGATAGTTTGACAAAAATATGATAGTCTGTACTAGCATTTGATTTCTGCAAGTGTACAAGTATCTGCATATTTCACCAGTTCGGGCCGACGTGGTCCACGCCGCCCGTACGGGCCAGCGATGTGCATGCAGGCGTTCACATCCACCACCTCACAGAGGTAGCGCTTCGAGAACTACACTGCTGCGAGGAAGCGCAAAATCTTGGCACAAATTCCACACCGGTTTTTCGCAACTGTCTTTCTCTATCCGTTGCCGGAGAACGAAACTCGCGAAACCTCTTGCTTGCGGTTGCCGTTACGAAACCAATATCGCTAGTATTGGTTGTTGCCAAGCTCAGTATTTCCCACCACCTCGCCATTCACAGCCCTTCTCGCCTCCTGCTCCTCCCTCGTCAAATAAAATGCCATCGAGGGTTGTAAGTCGAGGTGTGCTCATTCTTTGGAGGTGTTGTGGAGTTCACCATTCGGCTTGCTGCATTCTACAACGCGGCCATCAGAATTCCTTTTCTCGCTCTCGTACGCATTCGCATTGGTCGGAGTTGGCGAAAGTCTGCCATTTTTTCGCCTGGCATAACCCTCTTCTGTATAGTAAGCAGAGGAAACTGCTCGCCTTCAGAATAGCGCAAGCCTCTAGACTCTCTACTGTCATGCACCGTACATGCAGCAGCATATTTACACCTACTAACCGTATGTTCCGCGCACCACTTATAACTTCACAAAGAAATGCTTCGCTACCCTGATTGAATATCTCCTGCATGCACACCCACACGCATACTCTTATACAGCCTCAAGACTAGTCTTGGTTCTCCATGCGGCTTTTCAAAATGGCGCTGCATCCGCCTAAAGCCATAGTTTTATTATTTTTACCCTGGGAGCGTCATGCCTTGACACACTCGTGCGGCTTCCCAACCACCGATTTGTACCCACTCGCACACCTGCACTTGAACTTGCTCCCACCCGCCGGAACGCACACGCCGTGTCCCGAGCACGGCCCTTTTGTCGTACTCGTCCCACAAAACTTAGTGCAGGCCGCTACACTCCGCTGCTGCTTCATGTTACAGGTGCTGCTCTTACCGAGGCAGTTCAGCGCTGCGAGATACTCGTCATCGCCTGAGTCGGGGTCCGCCTGCCCCTCCTCCGGGCAGACCTTCCGATCGGACATGATGAACTCCGGGCTGCCCCAAAAATAATTTCCGCGCACGTCGACTGGCGGCTCCTCCTCTCCTCCCATGAAACCTAGATTCGGCATGGGCCCGGAGAAGAGGTTGAAGGAGATATTGAATACTGCCACGTGGACCTTTTGAAATGCGTCTGGGGGAATCGCGCCGGTAAACGCGTTGCGCTGCAGTTTCAGGTGCTCGATCACCGGGGCGGTGTTCAAATACCCCCAGGGAAACTCTCCGCTTAGCCCGTTGAATGAAAGGTCTAATTCGTGGAGGTTCGGCATGTTTCGTAGCAGAGCCTCTGGAACTTTTCCTCTGAGCCTGTTTCCCGCCAATCGCAGAGCCGCCAGTTTTTTCATCTGCCCGAACTGGGAGGGCACCCTGCCCGTAATAACATTCCAGCTGAGATTGATGTCTGTCAGAGTCGGATGGGTCGCAAGGGCGGCGATAGACGACGCAGTGAACCGATTATGTTGCAGATCCACCTCCTCGAGGCTCTTTATAGCGAGTACGTCGTTCACGGGGAGCGCACCGGAGAGCTTATTGTTCCCGACGAGCAACCGCTTCAGGCCCTTGATTTTCGCGAGGGTCGGGGGAATTGACCCTGTCAACCGATTCCCGCCCAAGTCAAACGTGTTGAGTGCCGCCATGCCGGACAATTCCCGAGGGATTTCGCCTGTGAACAGGTTCCATTCCAGATCGAGGTACTCGAGGCGACTCAAGCGGGCAAGCCCGCGCGGAATGCTCCCCGTGAGCCCCGTTCCGCGGAACGCGAGGTAGGTTAAGCGCGCAAGATTCCCGATGGAGTCCGGGAGGCCGCCGGAGAATCTTCCATGGATGTTATCGCGAATGCCGAGCGACTCGAGCTTCTGTAATTTCGAGAGGCTCTTGGGCAAGCTGCCGCTGATGCGCCAGTTGTTGGACACGTCAAGCAGCATCAGCTCCGTCAGGTTTCCGACGGATTCCGTCAATGCGCCGGTGCATGAAAGGTCGCTGATGGAAACCTGGATAACCATCCCCCGATCGTCGCAGAGAACGCCGGCCCATTTGGAGCAGTCGGTGTCGGGTATCCATGTCTTGGTTACTACGCAGTTGTTTCCCCACGCGGTTTTCAGGGAGAGTAGCGCGGTCTCTTGTGAGGGGAGCAGGGGGACGGCGTTGGAGGGGAGAATGGCGGAGGCCAGTAATAAGACGAGGAGCCCGGGCAAGAGGGATGCCATAATCGCTGGCCAGTCGAACGAAGGAAAGAAAAGCTGGGCCTCTACGCTGCAAGAATCGTTGGATAAAACGTGTGTCAGGTCATGCAGTAAGACTAATCGAAGCCGTATCAATAGAACAGGCTACCTATCGCTGCTGAGAAACGAGCGAGCGAGCTGCGCTTGCTTTATACGAGGCCCCTTGCCTGGTTTGAGAAGCGGCACAGTGCTGTGGGGCTGGTGATAGGGACCTGCAGGGAAGGTAAAACCTGCAGGGTCTAACTGTCATTACTGCGGGCAGGGCTTGTCAGAGAACAACACACAGATTGGTTCAAGAGGGAGCGTGTTGTTCAAGGTCCCTTTCCGCTGGATCCGCGATGGCGTGACGATGTTTGGAAACCAAAAGAAGTGTCATAGTAACCCCCTCAAACTGTTCGCACTATCAACTTGCGAAATGACGGGAGCCTCGGCGATTGCACCTTCGTAACAGGCGCCAATTGTAAAATTGCGCATCGCGAATGTCAATTGCTGCGCTGGCTGATGGATTGACATGGGGAGCGGGAATCGTGGCCAGCGAGTGTCCGCCGCCAGCCACGTCCTTCCTCCCCTTAGCAAGCTTCAATGCTAAGGGCATGAGCGACGGCGCGGCTGGCGCAGGTGACGTCGGATGACAGGAGCCGAACCGCTAGCGGCTCGACGGACAACACGTCAGCAACACAAGCCAGGCAGCACTAAAAATACCATTGCAGGAAGTTCTTCGTTATTCAACACAGTCACGAGCATCAAATGCAAGTCTTGTTGAAATAACAAATTTGTATGCAGGAAGGCATGGTGTACCATGAAGAGCGCAATAAAAATCGCACGCTTTAAAATAAATAGAAAATACTCTTTTGGTCTATGATGAAGTAGTTTATATAATAAAACTTACTATTTCTTCCTCTTTACATGCGGTTTTAGTTATAATGTGTGCGGATAGATATTTCACGACGTCTGTTATTATTTCACGTAGCTTTGCTCAGCGCGGCAAACTACACACCTCAGGTTCTGCATGGACCCCCAAAGCCCCAATGATAATTTGGCCTCCAATAATTGCGCTTCGACACTCACGTTCCCTCTCACAACACCTTGCCGTAACTTCCTTCGATTGGCAGCCACGGTCAACGTGGCCCAACTCGCCCCTTCCCTTCCCTCCCTATCCAGTTCCAACCCTTCCCTTCTCTTCCATTCCCGACTTCCTCGCTCCCAAATACCCTTCCGTGCCCGTTTTGGGCTAACTAGGCCGCATGGACGATGGAAGCATATGTCGCCATTCCAGTTTTCGCGCTCATTTGTCAAGCGGCACTGCTGATGGTGGTAACAACTTCCAGTTGAACTTCAAATGTGCTTGAAGTGTAACTTGGATGTTCAATCGGACGCGGAAGCGTGGCGCGTGCAAAAGTTGGTGCTTCTGCAATCTTTGAAGGAGCTACCACAGCGCGCATTCGAAGGAGCTCAAATCCAGCCAGACACGGAAGTTGCCGGAAGCCCCTCCGCTTTTCCGGTGAGCACAACAGATCGTCTGCAGACTCATCAGAGGTCTCGTGCACCCGTCAGTAGTTACTAGTAACGATGAATCATTTGAAGGTAAGTGTGGAATAAGAGAATGTTCGACAGGATAATCGTAACACCAGCCGACCACAACTGATACGAGTACTAACCTCGCTAGACCTGCTTAACTGCCCCGATTGAATGTCGCCACTGCGCACTAGTTACGCCCACACGCACACGTGCAACAAGCACACGCACACGCAGACGCGGATCCACACGCGCACGCATGATAAATAGCCGCTGGACTACTACTAGAACTACTGCATGCAGCTATCCGGAATTACCCAAAACCATATCCAACCCTCAAGTCTGAAAAGCGTCACGCCTTGACACACTGATGAGGCTTTCCCTCCACCGCTTTGTATCCACTCGCACACCTGCACTTGAACCGGCTCCCACCCCCCGGAACGCACACGCCGTGTCCCGAGCACGGGCCGTTTGTTCTACGCGTCCCACAAAATCTTCTACATGCTGCTCCACTCCGTTGCTGTTTCATGTTACAGTTGCCGCTCTTACCGAGGCAGTTCAGCGCAGCAAAATACTCGTCGTCCGAGTCGGGGTACTTCTGCCCCTCCTGAGGACACACTTTTTGATTGTCCATGACGAACTCTGGGCTGCCCCAGAAATAATTTCCGCGGACATCTACTCGCGGCTCCTCCTCTCCTCCCATGAACCCTAGATTCGGCATGGGCCCGGAGAAGAGATTGAAGGAAATGTTGAAACTTGCCACGCCGTTCTTTCGAAACGCATCTGCGGGAATCTCTCCGACGAACGCGTTGCGCTGGAGATACAGGTGCTCGATTGCCTGGGCGGTTTTCATATACGCCCAGGGAAACTCGCCTCTCAGCCTGTTGAACGAAAGGTCTAAGTAATGGAGATTCGGCATGTTTCGCAGTAGAGTCACTGGGACTGTTCCGCTCAGCCTGTTTCCAGCCAATTTCAAACCCGCAAGCTTCTTCATCTGCCTGAACTGCTCAGGAACACTGCCCGAAATAATATTCCAACTAAGGTCGATGTCTGTCAGAGACGGATGGGTCGCAAGGGCGGCGATAGACGAAGCAATGAACCGATTATTACGCAGATCCAGGTCCTCGAGGCTCCTTATATCGAGTATTTCTTTCGTGGGGAGCGCACCCGAAAGCCTATTATTCTCAAGATGCAGTGTCGTGAGGCGCTTTATTTCCGCGAGGGTCGGTGGAATCGATCCCGTCAATCTATTCCCGCCCATCTCGAGCGAGACGAGATTCCTCAAGCCGGACAATTCCCGAGGGATTTCTCCCGTGAGACGGTTTCCGTCTAGGTTTAAGTACACGAGGCGACTCAGCCGCGAAAGCCCACGCGGAATGCTCCCCGTGAGCCGCGTTCCGAGGAGCATAAGGCTCGTCAGGCTGCGGGCGAAATTCCCGATGGAATTTGGCAGGGCCCCGGAAAGGCCGCTATTTCGGCCTCCATTGAAATCCGTGCGGATCGCTAGAGATTCGAGCTTCTGCAGATTCGAGAGGCTCTTGGGCAAGCTGCCGTAGATGCGCCAGTTGTCGGATATAGTAATCGACGTCAGCTCCGTCAGGTTCCCGACGGATTCCGTCAACGCGCCGGTGCAGGAGTTCTCGCCGTAGATGTACAGCTGGAAAACCACACCGCGATCGTCGCAACTGATGCCGGACCATTTTGAGCAGTCGGCGCCCGCCACCCATGTCTTGGTCACCGGACAGTTGCGCCACGCGGTTTTCAGGGAAATTAGTGCATTTTCTTGCGAGGGGAGGAGGGGAACGGCGTTGGAGGGGAGAATAGCGGAGGCGAGGAGTGGGACGAGGCTGAAGAGCGCGAGAAAGGAAGATTTCATTCTCGGTGGCTGGTTTTAAAGACGTTATGATGATGATGCTGCTGAAAAAATAAACCCAATTCAAGAATCGAGGGCTTGATACTACTTCCAGGTATTGCAGTGAGGCCAAGAGAAGCTGTGTGAAGAGGACAACTTCGCGCTGCTGGGAAACGAGCGAGCTATGGTGCTTTATACCTGCCTTTCTCACGTCTGTGGAGCAGGCAATTCTGACCTCCGACTACGTTGAAACCCGCTGGCTGGAAGCGAAGTGCCCCCGAGGGGATTGAAACGGGTCTTCATCCGATGGAAGGGCGCACTCATCAATTGACAGCGCGTCCAGCCAAGACCTGCATTTCGCTCCGCGGGACAGCAGAAGAACCCCTCTCGGCTAGTCTTGAACATGGTACACTCTGGAAGAACGTTCATTTCTCCAAGTGGGTACGAGGTCTCGAACACGGCAGCCCCCCAACGAAGCAAAATGTCACGGCACGTCGAGGTTGCTTGCAACTTCGTGTAGGCAGTCGTCAATCGCGAAATTGCGGTTCGCGAATGTTACTTGTAGTGCTGCCACGTGGTACACTTGCGGAGCGGAAATCGTCGCCAGCACATCCACCCTCCCCTACCCCGCTTCAACGCGCAGACACCAGCGACAGCGCGGCTGGCGCAGCTGACGCGCGGAACCGCCAGGAGCTTGAGGGCGTGGCACATAAGCGAACCGCGTAAAAAAACCGAGTTTGGGGACCGAGCCCAGCCTGCCCAGTGGTCCATCACACAGGTGAAACCTGGCTAGGAACCCAGGGAAGGCGGTTCGGCGACCGGGGCAATTTTCCCATTTGGGGTTCGATCCTCAATTGGCGATGCTCATTCTTTGTTGTCACCTCGCGATGTAATACCGAGACACGCCTCGCGTTTTGGGCGTGGTTCGAGTGTATTGCCGGGCCCGGGAATGGGGTTCGGTATTCTTTTGGCTAATGTTCCACGCCCTAGGAGCCACAATCTCACCAGCACGTGACGTGCAATAGAGAGAATAAAATGACATAAAATAACCTGCTGGTACACTCCAGAGCATAGAATTGCGGAAGCTCCATACACCAGTTTGTCATGCGCATTTCCATCTCTAGACTTTCCACATCCCTCGTAATCCTACAGTCATTCCGTTATGTGCCACATGCTCCTACTGTAGCCAGCTGCTCAGTGATTCTGGTGGGTTCAAATTGGATGCACTACGCCAGTAGTCTCATTCAGCTCACTCAGCGGGACTGGTGGAAGTAGGACCAACTGCACTGGGAGAAGCAGTGGGAGCAGCCGGAGGAGCAGCAGCAGCAGCAGCACCCATCTACTCCTTGGGCGCCTCAATAGTAACCACACAACTGCCCTTGCCTGGGCTGGTGGAAATAGGGCCAACCACCCCCCCACCAATAGGAGCAGCAGCAGCAGATGTGAGGATGGAGGTAGTGGAGGAGGAGGAGAGCAAGTGAGGGACGTCGGTGACAAAGAGAGACACCATCACCAGCATTATGCCCTGGAGAAGGGATTGGAGGGGGTGGGGGGGGAGGGGAGCGGGGACGAAGGTAGTGGAAAGGGGTGTGGAGTAGGGGGGGAGGAAGAGGAGAGCAAGTGAGGGGCATCGGAGAGAGAGAGGGATATCTTCACCACCACCATTGCCATCAGTACTGTCACTTTCGTTTAAGGGTGGTTTGATTTGATCTGCAAGCAGGGCAGGGCAGAAGGGAAGAGGTGTGGCGGCGTGGATGGCAGGGCAGACAAGTGTTGCCTGAGTGACCTGAGGAGTCTATTTTTTAGGCGCCTCAAAGGAAGAGGCGTGGCATCGCGTGACCTGACCTGCTCCTGTCCCACTCAGGTGAAACGAGCAGGGCAGGACGCACAAGCGTTGCGATTTGGCCCAAAACACACGAGGGCAGGACACTATTTTTGAACTGCCTCAGATTCAACAGATGCTAAGTTTGGAGGGAAGTAGAGCAGGGAATGACTCAGGAGGAGGTGATTGGGCGGCAGGAGCCTTACCACGGCAGTGAGGGCTCTATGATTGAGGCAGTGAAGAAGATGTGAGACAGAGAGAGAGGGGCTTACCAAGGCAGTGAGGGCTTGGAGCTTACCACGGCAGTGAGGGCTTGGAGCTTACCACGGCAGTGAGGGCTTGGAGCTTACCACGGCAGGGAGGGCTTGGAGCTTACCACGGCAGTGAGGGCTTGGCGCTAACCACGGCAGCGAGGGCTTGGAGCTTACCACGGCAGTGAGGGCTTGGAGCTTACCACGGCAGTGAGGGCTTGGAGCTTACCACGGCAGTGAGGGCTTGGAGCTTACCACGGCAGTGAGGAGTTGCGGTACTTTCCAGAGTGGGGCGAAGGGTTCCAATGGGAAGAGAAGGAGGATCATGATGATCTGAAGGGTGGGGGGAAAGGGGGGTTTGGATGGGGAAAAGACGGTTGGCTGTGACAGACAGGCCGGCAGACAGACAAAGGGATATGAAGCACCTTCCCTAGTGGGGAAAAGGGGGTCCATGGGGAAAAGGGGGTCCATGGGGACGAGAACGAGGATAGTGCTGACCTAAATGGTGGGGGCCAGAGAGGGAGTGGAAGAGGGGCAAGCATAGTGGCAGAGAGGCAGAGAGGAAGAGAGGCAGAGAGGCAGAGAGGCAGAGAGGCAGAGAGGCAGAGAGGCAGAGAGGAAGAGAGAGGCAGAGAGGCAGAGAGGCAGAGAGGCAGAGAGGCAGAGAGGAAGAGAGGCAGAGAGGCAGAGAGGCAGAGAGGCAGAGAGGCAGAGAGGCAGAGAGGCAGAGAGGCAGAGAGGCAGAGAGGCAGAGAGGCAGAGAGGCAGAGAGGCAGAGAGGCAGAGAGGCAGAGAGGCAGAGATGCACAGATGCAGAGAGGAAGAGAGGCAGAGAGGCAGAGAGGAAGAGAGAGGCAGAGAAGAAGAGAGAGGCAGAGAGAGGCAGAGAGGCAAAGAGGCAGAGAGGCAGAGAGGGAGAGAGGCGCAGAGAGGCAGAGAGGCAGAGAGGCAGAGATGCAGAGAGGAAGAGAGGCAGAGAGGCAGAGAGGCAGAGAGGCAGAGAGGCAGAGAGGAAGAGAGGAAGAGAGGCAGAGAGGCAGAGAGGCAGAGAGGCAGAGAGGCAGAGAGGCAGAGAGGCAGACAGGCAGGGAGGCAGAGAGGCAGGGAGGCAGAGAGGCAGAGAGGCAGAGAGGCAGAGAGGAAGAGAGGAAGAGAGGAAGAGAGGCAGAGAGGCAGAGAGGCAGAGAGGAAGAGAGGAGAAGAGGCAGAGAGGCAGAGAGGCAGAGAGGCAGAGAGGCAGAGAGGCAGAGAGGCAGAGAGGCAGGGAGGCAGAGAGGAAGAGAGGAAGAGAGGAAGAGAGGCAGAGAGGCAGAGAGGCAGAGAGGCAGAGAGGCAGAGAGGCAGAGAGGCAGAGAGGCAGAGAGGCAGAGAGGCAGAGAGGCAGAGAGGCAGAGAGGCAGAGAGGCAGAGAGGCAGAGAGGCAGAGAGGCAGAGAGGCAGAGAGGCAGAGAGGCCAGAGAGGCAGAGAGGCAGAGAGGCAGAGAGGCAGAGGGCAGAGAGGCAGAGAGGCAGAGAGGCAGAGAGGCAGAGAGGCAGATAGGCAGAGAGGCAGAGAGGCAGAGCGGCAGAGAGGCAGAGAGGCAGAGAGGCAGAGAGGCAGAGAGGCAGAGAGGCAGAGAGGCAGAGAGGCAGAGAGGCAGAGAGGCAGGGAGGCAGAGAGGCAGAGAGGAAGAGAGGAAGAGAGGAAGAGAGGCAGAAAGGCAGAGAGGCAGAGAGGCAGAGAGGCAGAGAGGCAGAGAGGCAGAGAGGCAGAGAGGCAGAGAGGCAGAGAGGCAGAGAGGCAGAGAGGCAGAGAGGCAGAGAGGCAGAGAGGCAGAGAGGCAGAGAGGCAGAGAGGCAGAGAGGCAGAGAGGCAGAGAGGCAGAGAGGCAGAGAGGCAGAGAGGCAGAGAGGCAGAGAGGTAGAGAGGCAGAGAGGCAGAGAGGCAGAGAGGCAGAGAGGCAGAGAGGCAGAGAGGCAGAGAGGCAGAGAGGCAGAGAGGCAGAGAGGCAGAGAGGCAGGGAGGCAGAGAGGAAGAGAGGAAGAGAGGAAGAGAGGCAGAGAGGCAGAGAGGCAGAGAGGCAGAGAGGCAGAGAGGCAGAGAGGCAGAGAGGCAGAGAGGCAGAGAGGAAGAGAGGAAGAGAGGCAGAGAGGCAGAGAGGCAGAGAGGCAGAGAGGCAGAGAGGCAGGGAGGCAGAGAGGCAGGGAGGCAGAGAGGCAGAGAGGCAGAGAGGCAGAGAGGAAGAGAGGAAGAGAGGAAGAGAGGCAGAGAGGCAGAGAGGCAGAGAGGCAGAGAGGCAGAGAGGCAGAGAGGCAGAGAGGCAGAGAGGCAGAGAGGCAGAGAGGCAGAGAGGCAGAGAGGCAGAGAGGCAGAGAGGCAGAGAGGCAGGGAGGCAGGGAGGCAGAGAGGAAGAGAGGCAGAGAGGCAGAGAGGCAGAGAGGCAGAGAGGCAGAGAGGCAGAGAGGCAGAGATGCAGAGAGGCAGAGAGGCAGAGAGGCAGAGAGGCAGAGAGGCAGAGAGGCAGAGAGGCAGAGAGGCAGAGAGGCAGAGAGGCAGAGAGGCAGAGAGGCAGAGAGGCAGAGAGGCAGAGAGGCAGAGCGGCAGAGCGGCAGAGCGGCAGAGAGGCAGAGAGGCAGAGCGGCAGAGAGGCAGAGAGGCAGAGAGGCAGAGAGGCAGAGAGGCAGAGAGGCAGAGAGGCAGAGAGGCAGGGAGGCAGAGAGGAAGAGAGGAAGAGAGGAAGAGAGGCAGAGAGGCAGAGAGGCAGAGAGGCAGAGAGGCAGAGAGGCAGAGAGGCAGAGAGGCAGAGAGGCAGAGAGGAAGAGAGAGAGAGCAGAGAGCAGAAGGCAGAGAGGCAGAGAGGCAGAGAGGCAGAGAGGCAGAGAGGCAGAGGGCAGAGAGGCAGAGCGGCAGAGCGGCAGAGGGCAGGGCAGAGAGGCAGAGAGGCAGAGAGGCAGAGAGGCAGAGAGGCAGAGAGGCAGAGAGGCAGAGAGGCAGAGAGGCAGAGAGGCAGAGAGGCAGAGAGGCAGAGAGGCAGAGAAGCAGAGAGGCAGAGAGGCAGAGAGGCAGAGAGGCAGAGAGGCAGAGAGGCAGAGAGGCAGAGAGGCAGACAGGCAGGGAGGCAGAGAGGCAGGGAGGCAGAGAGGCAGAGAGGCAGAGAGGCAGAGAGGAAGAGAGGAAGAGAGGAAGAGAGGCAGAGAGGCAGAGAGGCAGAGAGGAAGAGAGGAGAAGAGGCAGAGAGGCAGAGAGGCAGAGAGGCAGAGAGGCAGAGAGGCAGAGAGGCAGAGAGGCAGGGAGGCAGAGAGGAAGAGAGGAAGAGAGGAAGAGAGGCAGAGAGGCAGAGAGGCAGAGAGGCAGAGAGGCAGAGAGGCAGAGAGGCAGAGAGGCAGAGAGGCAGAGAGGCAGAGAGGCAGAGAGGCAGAGAGGCAGAGAGGCAGAGAGGCAGAGAGGCAGAGAGGCAGAGAGGCAGAGAGGCAGAGCGGCAGAGCGGCAGAGAGGCAGAGAGGCAGAGAGGCAGAGAGGCAGAGAGGCAGATAGGCAGAGAGGCAGAGAGGCAGAGCGGCAGAGAGGCAGAGAGGCAGAGAGGCAGAGAGGCAGAGAGGCAGAGAGGCAGAGAGGCAGAGAGGCAGAGAGGCAGAGAGGCAGGGAGGCAGAGAGGCAGAGAGGAAGAGAGGAAGAGAGGAAGAGAGGCAGAAAGGCAGAGAGGCAGAGAGGCAGAGAGGCAGAGAGGCAGAGAGGCAGAGAGGCAGAGAGGCAGAGAGGCAGAGAGGCAGAGAGGCAGAGAGGCAGAGAGGCAGAGAGGCAGAGAGGCAGAGAGGCAGAGAGGCAGAGAGGCAGAGAGGCAGAGAGGCAGAGAGGCAGAGAGGCAGAGAGGCAGAGAGGCAGAGAGGCAGAGAGGCAGAGAGGTAGAGAGGCAGAGAGGCAGAGAGGCAGAGAGGCAGAGAGGCAGAGCAGAGAGGCAGAGAGGCAGAGAGGCAGAGAGGCAGAGAGGCAGAGAGGCAGAGAGGCAGGGAGGCAGAGAGGAAGAGAGGAAGAGAGGAAGAGAGGCAGAGAGGCAGAGAGGCAGAGAGGCAGAGAGGCAGAGAGGCAGAGAGGCAGAGAGGCAGAGAGGAAGAGAGGAAGAGAGGCAGAGAGGCAGAGAGGCAGAGAGGCAGAGAGGCAGAGAGGCAGGGAGGCAGAGAGGCAGGGAGGCAGAGAGGCAGAGAGGCAGAGAGGCAGAGAGGAAGAGAGGAAGAGAGGAAGAGAGGCAGAGAGGCAGAGAGGCAGAGAGGCAGAGAGGCAGAGAGGCAGAGAGGCAGAGAGGCAGAGAGGCAGAGAGGCAGAGAGGAAGAGAGGCAGAGAGGCAGAGAGGCAGAGAGGCAGAGAGGCAGAGAGGCAGGAGGCAGAGAGGCAGAGAGGCAGAGAGGCAGAGAGGCAGAAGGCAGAGAGGCAGAGAGGCAGAGAGGCAGAGAGGCAGAGAGGCAGAGAGGCAGAGACGAGGCAGAGAGGCAGAGAGGCAGAGAGGCAGAGAGGCAGAGAGGCAGAGAGGCAGAGAGGCAGAGAGCAGAGAGGCAGAGAGGCAGAGAGGCAGAGAGGCAGAGAGGCAGAGCGGCAGAGCGGCAGAGCGGCAGAGAGGCAGAGAGGCAGAGCGGCAGAGAGGCAGAGAGGCAGAGAGGCAGAGAGGCAGAGAGGCAGAGAGGCAGAGAGGCAGAGAGGCAGGGAGGCAGAGAGGAAGAGAGGAAGAGAGGAAGAGAGGCAGAGAGGCAGAGAGGCAGAGAGGCAGAGAGGCAGAGAGGCAGAGAGGCAGAGAGGCAGAGAGGCAGAGAGGAAGAGAGGAAGAGAGGCAGAGAGGCAGAGAGGCAGAGAGGCAGAGAGGCAGAGAGGCAGAGAGGCAGAGAGGCAGAGGGGCAGAGAGGCAGAGCGGCAGAGCGGCAGAGCGGCAGAGAGGCAGAGAGGCAGAGAGGCAGAGAGGCAGAGAGGCAGAGAGGCAGAGAGGCAGAGAGGCAGAGAGGCAGAGAGGCAGAGAGGCAGAGAGGCAGAGAGGCAGAGAGGCAGAGAGCAGAGAGGCAGAGAGGCAGAGAGGCAGAGAGGCAGAGAGGCAGAGAGGCAGAGAGGCAGAGAGGCAGAGAGGCAGAGAGGCAGAGAGGAAAAGAGGCAGAGCGGCAGAGCGGCAGAGCGGCAGAGAGGCAGAGAGGCAGAGAGGCAGAGAGGCAGAGAGGCAGAGAAGCAGAGAGGCAGAGAGGCAAAGAGGCAGAGAGGCAGAGAGGCAGAGAGGTAGAGAGGCAGAGAGGCAGAGAGGCAGAGAGGCAGAGAGGCAGAGAGGCAGAGAGGCAGAGAGGCCGAGAGGCAGAGAGGCAGAGAGGCAGAGAGGCAGAGAGGCAGAGAGGCAGAGAGGCAGAGAGGCAGAGAGGCAGAGAGGCAGAGAGGAAGAGAGGAAGAGAGGCAGAGAGGCAGAGAGGCAGAGAGGAAGAGAGGAGAAGAGGCAGAGAGGCAGAGAGGCAGAGAGGCAGAGAGGGCAGAGAGGCAGAGAGGCAGAGAGGCAGGGAGGAGAGGGAAGAGAGGAAGAGAGGAAGAGAGGCAGAGAGGCAGAGAGGCAGAGAGGCAGAGAGGCAGAGAGGCAGAGAGGCAGAGAGGCAGAGAGGCAGAGAGGCAGAGAGGCAGAGAGGCAGAGAGGCAGAGAGGCAGAGAGGCAGAGAGGCAGAGAGGCAGAGAGGCAGAGAGGCAGAGAGGCAGAGCGGCAGAGCGGCAGAGAGGCAGAGAGGCAGAGAGGCAGAGAGGCAGAGAGGCAGATAGGCAGAGAGGCAGAGAGGCAGAGCGGCAGAGAGGCAGAGAGGCAGAGAGGCAGAGAGGCAGAGAGGCAGAGAGGCAGAGAGGCAGAGAGGCAGAGAGGCAGAGAGGCAGGGAGGCAGAGAGGCAGAGAGGAAGAGAGGAAGAGAGGAAGAGAGGCAGAAAGGCAGAGAGGCAGAGAGGCAGAGAGGCAGAGAGGCAGAGAGGAAGAGAGGCAGAGAGGCAGAGAGGCAGGAGAGGGGCAGAGAGGCAGAGAGGCAGAGAGGCAGAGAGGCAGAGAGGCAGAGAGGCAAGAGAGGCAGAGAGGCAGAGAGGCAGAGAGGCAGGAGAGGCAGAGAGGCAGGAGGCAGAGAGGCAGAGAGGCAGAGAGGCAGAGAGGCAGAGAGGCAGAGAGAGCAGAAGAGAGGCAGAGAGGTAGAGAGGCAGAGAGGCAGAGAGGCAGAGAGGCAGAAGGGGAGAGAGGCAGAGAGGCAGAGAGGCAGAGAGGCAGAGAGGCAGAGAGGCAGAGGCAGAGAGGCAGGGAAGGCGAGAGGAAAGAGAGGAAGAGAGGCAGAGAGGCAGAGAGGCAGAGAGGCAGGAGGCAGAGAGGCAGAGAGGCAGAGAGGCAGAGAGGCAGAGAGGCAGAGAGGAAGAGAGGAAGAGAGGCAGAGAGGCAGAGAGGCAGAGAGGCAGAGAGGCAGAGAGGCAGGGAGGCAGAGAGGCAGGAGGCAGAGAGGCAGAGAGGCAGAGAGGCAGAGAGGAAGAGAGGAAGAGAGGAAGAGAGGCAGAGAGGCAGAGAGGCAGAGAGGCAGAGAGGCAGAGAGGCAGAGAGGCAGAGAGGCAGAGAGGCAGAGAGGCAGAGAGGCAGAGAGGCAGAGAGGCAGAGAGGCAGAGAGGCAGGGAGGCAGGGAGCAGAGAGGAAGAGAGGCAGAGAGGCAGAGAGCAGAGAGGCAGAGAGGCAGAGAGCAGAGAGCAGAGATGCAGAGAGGCAGAGAGGCAGAGAGGCAGAGAGGCAGAGAGGCAGAGAGGCAGAGAGGCAGAGAGGCAGAGAGGCAGAGAGGCAGAGAGGCAGAGAGGCAGAGAGGCAGGGAGGCAGAGAGGAAGAGAGGAAGAGAGGAAGAGAGGCAGAGAGGCAGAGAGGCAGAGAGGCAGAGAGGCAGAGAGGCAGAGAGGCAGAGAGGCAGAGAGGCAGAGAGGAAGAGAGGAAGAGAGGCAGAGAGGCAGAGAGGCAGAGAGGCAGAGAGGCAGAGAGGCAGGAGGCAGAGAGGCAGGGAGGCAGAGAGGCAGAGAGGCGAGAGGCAGAGAGGAAGAGAGGAAGAGAGGAAGAGAGGCAGAGAGGCAGAGAGGCAGAGAGGCAGAGAGGCAGAGAGGCAGAGAGGCAGAGAGGCAGAGAGGCAGAGAGGTAGAGAGGCAGAGAGGCAGAGAGGCAGAGAGGCAGAGAGGCAGAGAGGCAGAGAGGCAGAGAGGCAGAGAGGCAGAGAGGCAGAGAGGCAGAGAGGCAGAGAGGAAGAGAGGCAGAGAGCAGAGAGGCAGAGAGGCAGAGAGGCAGAGAGGCAGGGAGGCAGAGAGGCAGGGAGCAGAGAGCAGAGAGGCAGAGAGGCAGAGAGGAAGAGAGGAAGAGAGGAAGAGAGGCAGAGAGGCAGAGAGGCAGAGAGCAGAGAGGCAGAGAGGAGAGAGGCAGAGAGGCAGAGAGGGCAGAGAGGTAGAGAGGCAGAGAGGCAGAGAGGCAGAGAGAGCAGAGAGGCAGAGAGGCAGAGAGGCAGAGAGGCAGAGAGCAGAGAGGCAGAGAGGCAGAGAGGCAGAGAGGCGGGAGGCAGAGAGGAGAGAGGAAGAGAGGAAGAGAGGCAGAGAGGCAGGGAGGCAGAAGAGGCAGAGAGGCAGAGAGGCAGAGAGGCAGAGAGGCAGAGAGGCAGAGAGGCAGAGAGGCAGAGAGGAAAGAGAAGAGGCAGAGAGGCAGAGAGGCAGAGAGGCAGAGAGGCAGAGAGGCAGGGAGGCAGAGAGGCAGAGAGGCAGAGAGGCAGAGAGGAAGAGGGAAGAGAGGAAGAGAGCAGAGAGCAGAGAGGCAGAGAGGCAAGAGGCAGAGAGGCAGAGAGGCAGAGAGGCAGAGAGGGCAGAGAGGGCAGAGAGGCAGAGAGGCAGAGAGGCAGAGAGGCAGAGAGGCAGGGAGGCAGGGAGGCAGAGGAAGAGAGGCAGAGAGGCAGAGAGGCAGAGAGGAAGAGAGGAAGAGAGGCAGAGAGGCAGAGAGGCAGAGAGCAGAGAGGCAGAGGCAGAGAGGCAGAGGGCAGAGAGGCAAAGAGGCAGAGCGGCAGAGCGCAGAGCGGCAGAGAGGCAGAGAGGCAGAGAGGCAGAGAGGCAGAGAGGCAGAGAGGCAGAGGGCAGAGAGGCAGAGAGGCAGAGAGGCAGAGAGGGAGAGAGAAGCAGAGAGCGAGAGAGGGCAGAGAGGCAGAGAGGCAGAGAGGCAGAGAGGCAGAGGGAGGCAGAGAGGCAGAGAGGCAGAGAGGCAGAGAGGAAAGAGGCAGAGCGGCAGAGCGGGCAGAGCGGCAGAGAGGCAGAGGCAGAGAGGCAGAGAGGCAGAGAGGCAGAGAGCAGAGAGGCAGAGAGGCAAAGAGGCAGAGGGCAGAGAGCAGAGAGGTAGAGAGGCAGAGAGGCAGAGAGGCAGAGAGGCAGAGAGGCAGAGAGGCAGAGAGGCAGAGAGGCGAGAGGCAGAGAGGCAGGAGGCAGAGGCAGAGAGGCAGGAGAGGGCAGAGAGGCAGGAGGCAGAGAGGAAGAGAGGAAGAGAGGCAGAGAGGCAGAGAGGCGAGAGGAAGAGAGGAGAAGAGGCAGAGAGGCAGAGGGAGAGGCAGAGAGGCAGAGAGGCAGAGAGGCAGAGAGGCAGGGAGGCAGAGAGGAAGAGAGGAAGAGAGGAAGAGAGGGCAGAGAGGCAGAGAGGCAGAGAGGCAGAGAGGCAGAGAGGCAGAGAGGCAGAGAGGCAGAGGGCAGAGGCAGAGAGGCAGAGAGGCAGAGAGCAGAGAGGCAGAGAGGCAGAGAGGCAGAGAGGCAGAGAGGCAGAGAGGCAGAGAGGCAGAGCGGCAGAGCGGCAGAGAGGCAGAGAGGCAGAGAGGCAGAGAGGCAGAGGCAGTGGCAGAGAGGCAGAGAGGCAGAGCGGCAGAGAGGCAGAGAGGCAGAGAGGCAGAGAGGCAGAGAGCAGAGAGGCAGAGAGGCAGAGAGGCAGAGAGGCAGAGAGGCGGGAGGCAGGAGGCAGAGAGGAAGAGAGGAAGAGAGGAAGAGAGGCAGAAAGGCAGAGAGGCAGAGAGGCAGAGAGGCAGAGAGGCAGAGAGGCAGAGAGGCAGAGAGGCAGAGCGGCAGAGCGGCAGAGCGGCAGAGAGGCAGAGAGGCAGAGCGGCAGAGAGGCAGAGAGGCAGAGAGGCAGAGAGGCAGAGAGGCAGAGAGGCAGAGAGGCAGGGAGGCAGAGAGAAGAGAGGAAGAGAGGAAGAGAGGCAGAGAGGCAGAGAGGCAGAGAGGCAGAGAGGCAGAGAGGCAGAGAGGCAGAGAGGCAGAGAGGAAAGAGGAAGAGAGGCAGAGAGGCAGAGAGGCAGAGAGGCAGAGGCAGAGAGGCAGAGAGGGCAGAGGGGCAGGAGGCAAAGAGGCAGAGCGGCAGAGCGGCAGAGCGGCAGAGAGCAGAGAGGGCAGAGGAGGGAGAGGCAGAGAGGCAGAGAGGCAGAGAGGCAGAGAGGCAGAGAGGCAGAGAGGCAGAGAGGCAGAGAGGCAGAGAGGCAGAGAAGGCAGAGAGGCAGAGAGGCAGAGAGGGGAGGCAGAGAGGCAGAGAGGCAGAGAGGCCAGAGAGGCAGAGAGCAGAGAGGCAGAGAGGAAAAGAGGCAGAGCGGCAGAGCGGCAGAGCGGCAGAGAGGCAGAGAGGCAGAGAGGCAGAGAGGAGAGAGGCAGAGAAGCAGAGAGGCAGAGAGGCAAAGAGCAGAGAGCAGAGAGGCAGAGAGGTAGAGAGGCAGAGAGGCAGAGAGGCAGAGAGGCAGAGAGGGAGAGGCAGAGAGGCAGAGAGGAGAGAGGCAGAGAGGCAGAGAGGCAGAGAGGCAGAGAGGCAGAGAGGCAGAGAGGCAGAGAGGCAGAGAGGCAGAGAGGCAGAGAGGAAGAGAGGAAGAGAGGCAGAGAGGCAGAGAGGCAGAGAGGAAGAGAGGAGAGAGGCAGAGAGGCAGAGAGGCAGAGAGGCAGAGAGGCAGAGAGGCAGAGAGCAGAGAGGCAGGGAGGCAGAGAGGAAGAGAGGAAGAGGGAAGAGAGGCAGAGAGGCAGAGAGGCAGAGAGGCAGAGAGGCAGAGAGGCAGAGAGGCAGAGAGGCAGAGAGGCAGAGAGGCAGAGAGGCAGGAGCAGAGGAGCAGGAGGCAGAGAGGCAGAGGGCAGAGAGGGCAGAGAGGCAGAGAGGCAGAGAGGCAGAGCGGCAGAGCGGCAGAGAGGCAGAGAGGCAGAGAGGCAGAGAGCAGAGAGGCAGATAGGCAGAGAGGCAGAGAGGCAGAGCGGCAGAGAGGCAGAGAGGCAGAGAGCAGAGAGGCAGAGAGGCAGAGAGGCAGAGAGGCAGAGAGGCAGAGAGGCAGAGAGGCAGGGAGGCAGAGAGGCAGAGAGGGAAGAGAGGAAGAGAGGAAGAGAGGCAGAGGCAGAGAGGCAGAGAGGCAGAGAGGCAGAGAGGCAGAGAGGCAGAGGGCAGAGAGGCAGAGCGGAGAGCGGCAGAGCGGCAGAGAGGCAGAGAGGCAGAGCGGGCAGAGAGGCAGAGAGGCAGAGAGGCAGAGAGGCAGAGAGGCGAGAGGCAGAGAGGCAGAGAGGCAGGGAGGCAGAGAGGAAGAGAGGAAGAGAGGAAGAGAGGCAGAGAGGCAGAGAGGCAGAGAGGCAGAGAGGCAGAGAGGCAGAGAGGCAGAGAGGCAGAGAGGAAGAGAGGAAGAGAGGCATGAGGCAGAGAGGCAGAGAGGCAGAGAGGCAGAGAGGCAGAGAGGCAGGGGCAGAGAGGCAAAGAGGCAGAGCGGCAGAGCGGCAGAGCGGCAGAGAGGCAGAGAGGCAGAGAGGCAGAGAGGCAGAGAGGCAGAGAGGCAGAGAGGCAGAGAGGCAGAGAGGCAGAGAGGCAGAGAGGCAGAGAGGCAGAGAGGCAGAGAGGCAGAGAGGCAGAGAGGCAGGGAGCAGGAAGAGAGGCAAAGAGAGGAAGAGAGCAGAGAGGCAGAGAGGCAGAGAGGCAGAGAGGCAGAGAGGAGAGAGGCAGAGGGCAGAAGAGGCAGGAGAGCAGAGAGGCAGAGAGGCAGAGAGGCAGAGAGGCAGAGAGGCAGAGAGGCAGAGAGGCAGAGAGGCAGAGAGGCAGAGAGGCAGAGCGGCAGAGCGGCAGAGAGGCAGAGAGGCAGAGGCAGAGAGGCAGAGAGGCAGATAGGCAGAGAGGCAGAGAGGCAGAGCGGCAGAGCAGAGAGCAGAGAGGCAGAGAGGCAGAGGCAGAGAGCAGAGAGGCAGAGAGGCAGAGAGGCAGAGAGGCAGAGAGGCAGAGAGCAGAGAGGCAGGAGGCAGAGAGGCAGAGAGGAAGAGAGAAGAGAGGAAGAGATGCAGAAAGGCGAGAGGCAGAAGAGGCAGAGAGGCAGAGAGGCAGAGAGGCAGAGAGCAGAAGAGGCAGAGCGGCAGAGCGGGCAGAGAGGCAGAGGCAGGAGAGGCAGAGAGGCAGAGAGGCAGAGAGGCAGAGAGCAGAGAGGCAGAGAGGCAGAGGCAGAGAGGCAGAGAGG